TGAATGGTGATTCAGTCAGATCTGATGCAACATATGTGTGTTTTCACCTTTCAGAATTCTTCGTTTCTCAACATTTAGTCAGAGTAAAGTCAATTTTCACAGAAGCAAAAGGTCAAAATGATCAAGTAGTTATTTGTGGAAATTTTCTAAGACATTCAAAACTGTGCAAACAGAATAGCCTAAAGAGCATCCGTGTTAAAGTTACAGTTAGTTGCCTCACAAGTTAGTCATGTGACGAAAAGAAAACATGTTACGAAACACACACAAACGCACACAAAGACTTCCTCACACACACTTTAGTTTGGCAAAAAACCCACACTGGCACAAAAGTCCAGACTCTCACAATACCTGCGACTCCTCTTGAATATCAAGTGCAATAACCGCCTCTCAGCCAGTTTTAACCCCCCGACTGGCTTAATCCGGGTAGAAGGTCTTGATTTTGGTAAAGGGGAAAGGGAGGAAAAACAAGACGTCAGTAGGCGAGAACAGAAACACAGACTCAGGGAGTCCTGAGAGATGAAAGGTGTCTCTTAGGATACATCCAGTCGCTTACGAAGGGGCGGTCGCCATGGAGACCGTAACAGCAGACGACCCCCGGCCAGCTCCCCCCGGGGCTGGCGAGCACACCCACTTCACCTTCGACGTCGCCTTGATAATCGAGCCCTAAATCAGCCCCTCTCCACTTGTCGAGGCTTTCTCTGAGCGGTTCGCTTCCCACCTGGACGCTCTGAGGGGCTGGACGGAGCCCCGGAGGCCACAGCCAGACTCTCTGCTAAACACAGGGTCCCCAGCCAGCCCAGCTAACCGTCAAACCGCCGCTTTTGAAGGGGAAACAAAAGCTCTGAGTGCCTCTGATCCAGCCTGGAATCAGAACATGGCCATTTGGAGGAAACTTGAGATGTGGAGTAAAGGATTCTAGCACGTGGGACTTTGATTGACCTAAAAGGAGTTTAGGCCCGTCTGTGCTGGGTAAGTTTGATTCCCTCATACCGTTAGGTGCAGATGTTTCCTCTGTGAAGCACCAAACTGACCATCCAGACTCGAGGCAGGATGCACACCTAGTTATTTTAATCTATGGCATTCAAATTGAAACCATTCAGGTTTTTTAAACTCCTTCATGCCTCTATAGTAAACCTATACACCTATGCGTATTGACAGAGTCTCTCCTCCCTGATTGGTCGGTTCCAGTGGCCTGATCAAACGCAGCCCGCCGCCTTCATAAAGGAGAATGCAAAATAGCATTTTACCGGATGGAGGATTTGCATCTGCTGCAAACTGCTGGACATTTTGTGACTGCAGGCTTTATGGGTCGGCCGTCGTTTAGCCTGGTGTTTACGTACGGGGGATGTTCGGTACATGTGACACATCCCACACAAACACCGTTCACTCGTGCTACGCAGGTCCCCAAACACAGTGTTTAAAACCAAGACTGACTCGGCAGCAAACAAAGAGACAGCAGATAATTGCCCCTGCACGCCGCGCGGTTCCAGATGTCACCGCGGCGAGATGGCCCAGGCTCTCTCTGAAATATTTCGGCTTTGCTCTTGTGAGGGGAAAGTGGTGCCCTGTCATTCATCCCAACGCAGTGTATGTTTTAAATGAGAGGCTTGAGCCGGGCTTAATTACATTTCACACCGTCTCCATCCAGACAAAAGCCGCCTCTCATCGACTGGCGGTAGGTCGAGTTGAAACGGAGACGATTCAAACCAGTGGGGATGATACAAAGTTGTGAAGAGCTCTGGTTCTTTCATGCCCACAGTTGGGGTTATATTTGTCTGCCCGATTAGGTGGAGACGCAGACGAGTACATATATGGAAAAAAAAAGGGAGACATGGAGGAAAACGGTTCTGCCCGAGAGAGGAAACCCCCGAGTGCCTTTTATTTCCTCAGAGAGGACGGTGATCTGTCATCTGGAGCCAGTTTCAAAGAAGGTTTTCAAACCAGATGAGTGCGGAAAAGGGAATTATTTTGGGAATAGCCTGCCTTTATGTTGCAGCTACTCCCCAACAAAACGGACAGGGATCATTTTCATTTTCCTACAAGCGCTGATGGGAAAATGCATTGAAAATCCCTCATGTGGCCCAGTGGTCTTTGAAGTGAAGCGCGTGCTAACATGGGGGAGGCGTGTGCCAGCGCTCAGCGATGCGCGTCCCGCGTTGGACGGGTTCCACGTCTTTACTGTGGATACGGGCCCTTCGTCTCAGTCCGTTAGAGCACGTGTTTACACTTCAAACACTCCAAAAGGAAGTCTAAGGAGGAGTGTGCAAAGAGGGGCGGCCGGAGGGATGGAAGTGCTTTGATAAATTTTCTGCGTGCGGACAGCAAATGTTTTCCCCAAAACAGGAGACAATAGAGCCAGACAGAGGGGAGAGGGACAGACATTCCTGTCCAGTCCAGAGCGGACAGCTGTATCATTTTTGCACCACAGAGATGCTGGGCTCCAGCCCAGAATATCCCAATCCCCAGCATCCTTTCTTTTTTTCTTTTTTCTTCTGCTCACTCTGCCATCTCTGGCTGACAGTAGCTTTTCACCAGCTCAGAAAACAAACAGTCAGAGAGCTGCAGCTGGGTCTTAACTAAAAGCATATTTGTGTTTTTGATTTGCAGATGTGACAGATTTGTCCGTGTTTTTTCCCCGTCAGCACACGGCAGGCCGCAGATACAGAGTTAAGATAAGAGCTGCTAAAAAGAGAGACTTTAAAAAAGCTCAGCAGTTCAAGCTAGGGCTGCGTTTTCTGAGCTGTACGCCATGTGGCTTCAGGTGCGGGGGCCCTATCCTGCTGAGTCACAATTCGGGATTCAGATTAAAACATTAAAAAAATAAACGCTTAAAGACTGTAAAAAAACACGTTAAAAGCTTTGACAAGCGCAGAGTCAAACCAAGACCGTGAATCATTTTAATGCCCAGCAGGGAAATCTCAGACAAGTCAAATCCAAGTCCCAACAGTGGGCTGGCAGGAGACATCAGGAGGCATCTATTCATGAATTCTCCCGGCTGTGTAAACGACAACAAAGTGATTGCTTGTTACACGAGTGATGCGATGTATAAAATAGCCCTGGAACACAGTAGTTGTCTCCGATTGAAAAAGATCCACTCTCCTGTGGTCACAATTGTTCAGCGTAATGTGTGAATGTAACCACGACAACCAGTTAACCGGTTGAACGGTTGTTTTCATTGCAGTAGCATGGTAAGAAGAATGTATTTTAACCAAAACCGGCATTGCTCCGTGACGCTGACCGCCTGAATAATGATGCCAGCTGGCCAGCGATTCGCTGAGTCTGGGGAATCAACACCTAATAAGAACAAAGTGTGACATCTATCAACCCACCACAGCCAGGACAGACACCTGTAATCACGTCCTTGTAATTATTCGAGCAGCTGAGAATTTCTGAACCCGGAGACACGCAGGCCGGAGCTGCTAAACATGTTTTCTAGAAGCGAAGATGGCAGCTGCCACTATATTTATCACTCCGATCTTCCAACTTTGGGAATCCGTCACCTGCCTGAACACGAACCATTATCTTTCTCCCCGTGCTTCTCTAACTCTAACCCCCCGTTTCAGCGTCTGGCTGAGAAAAACCCGTTTAGGAATGAACAGTTTGACCTGTTTGGGATAGGTGGAATCTGTTCCCATGCTCAACGCCCCCCCCCCCTTCTCCCGAGTCGGTCAGTCTGGGCTGACTCGGATTCGGGGCCGTGATACAGCAGGGGGGTGAGGACCAGTAGTCTCCCCACAAACGCAGGAAATCCCCTTACTTCTGCCCGGCCGCTCTGTTGTGGCTGCCCGTCTGTGTGTACATTTCTGCGGCACAGATCCTGTGTGCTTGTGCCAGAGCCGAGCTGGGGCTTTTTCTTTTCCAGGGAGGAAGGGGGGGGGGGGGGTAAGGATGAGGGAGTGCTGCGAGGACCAACGGACCAACGGTCAAAACCAACCACAGTCCCGCAGGACGCGGAGGAAAAGTTAAAACAAACATAAACGGAGCCTCTTTCTCAGGACGCTTAAAAGAGCTCCTGTTTGGGCTCGCTGTTCTTTCATTGGTCCTCCAGACTCCAGCTCTCTGTTTTTCCTCTTTAAGGAAATTCGAAAGTTCGGCCTCTGAACTCTGACCCCTCTGGGAGAGCAAAAAAATCTCTCGAATGGGAGCTGGCGAGAGGCGAGGTTCCTCTCTGGAATGCCTGGATTCGGGTCACGTTTCCTCCCTCCAGAACCAAAAACCTCTCTCCAGGTTAAACGGCCAAAACGCGGATTGTGCGAGTCGTTAACTGCTTCCCATCGCCCCGTCCCCCCCCCCTCCCGGCGTGATGCTCTGTGAGACGCTGACCTCGCCAGCCTGCGTTTTGGCAGGCCTTCCCCTCCGGGGCAGCCCCGCGGTTACCCTCTCCCCCTCCTGTGATTGGCCGGGGAGGGCCCGGCGGTCGGTAACTGGCGGGTTGCGCTGCCAGCGGGAGGCCGTGGGCTGGGCCCCGCCGCCCGGCCTGATCTCTAATTAGCCCTGGCTTGTCAGCTGGTCAGGGTGGATCTGTCTGGGAAATTGTAGTCTTGCTGGTACGGGCGCTCACACGCACAGAAACAAAGCTGGGAACCGTCCAGAGAGGGATGAGGACGGGGCCGATTCCTCCCGGGCTCCAGCGGCCCGCTCAGCTCTGAGGGGGTGTTTCCCTGTGTGCTGCTGGCAGCGAGGAGGTTAACAGTCCCCCCGGGGGAGGCTCGTGTTACCAGCGGCGGGGCAGGTCCTCCCCCCCTCCCCTCCCTCCAGCAGTCCCTCCCGGCCGGAGAGCGGACCAGAGGCAAACGCCACCCGGCCGGGGACGAGGCAGCCGCGCGCCCGCTGACGAAAGGAGCTCGCTCCAGAACCTCCGCCAGGACGAGAGGGGAGCGGGGGGGAAGCAGGCCGAGGAAGCCCAGAGAGAGAGAGAGAGAGACGGGGGAGGGGCGGGGTGGGGGTGGGGGGGTGCGTATTTAGCTGTGTTGTGTTGAACCCTCTGCGGTGTCGGAGTCATGAAGCTCTCCGTCCAGCTCGGCATTTTCCCGCGGCGCCCCAGTTCCCACGGCAACCCCGGCACCCTGACCAGGTAGATACAGTCTGTGTGTGTGTGTGTGTGCACAAGTGTGTGTGAGCACACAAGTGTGCAAAAGAAACTTAGTGTAGCAGCAACGATGACTTGATTTTCTTCCCTCTTTAGGATTGTGGGTTTCTATAAATACACGTTGATGTATTTTTTTGTATTTCCTGGCCGTCTGCGCAGTGTGTGTGGGACTTCCCCCCCACCCTTGCACCCCCCCCTCCCCCGTGGCTGCGCGGACGAGTTGAAACAGTTGCGGTCACTCTAAATCTCTCAGCACCTCTGGGCTCTTTTGCCCCCGGGGCGCTTTCATCTCTCTAAGCCACGTCTCCGCTGGGCCCCTGGTTGATTTATTCTCCGGCTAAGTGGAGGAGGAAGCCCCGTCTTCCCTTTGTGTCTGCTCATCAGGTCGGGGAGAGCGGGGAGCGCGTTTGGTCTGAAGTCTGTGGAGAGCCCAGCTGATCAGGCTGCGGTGGTCCCCATCTGGGACGTCTGCCACTGAAAACCTTTGTTTTTCTGTAGCTTTTTTTCCTTAAACCCATAATTACGACGTGTCCTTATTCGTTGGTGGGAAAATTCTGGGCGTCTAAGTTGGCTGCCTTGAGTTGTATAAACATCAAACCTGAGAGAGATGGAGGAAGACTGGGGGCAGATGATGATAAGAGCATCAAAACCAAAAACAAACCTCAAGGTCTTAAACTGGCTCGGGTTTTGGAGCCGTGACATAAAACTTTAGTTGAGACAAAGCTGCTCACTTGTGCAGCCGCTTTCAATGAAGATCTCTTCCCCGTCTCAGCAGCAGCTCCGAGGATGACAACTGTTTCTGGATTTTCTTGACCCATTGAACGTGCATGTGTTGTATTAGGCCGACTTTTTGGAGCAGTTGGGAAAATAGAGAGAGGAGAGCGTCTCGGATTCCTTCCAAATATGTCATTTTCTCAAAACTTGAATTAAATGTGTCAGATGTAGAGTTTCTGAAGCGGCGGGTGGAGCTAACTCATCAGAAAAGAATCAGATACTGACTGGCGCCCTGCAGGTTTGATGACCTTGTCTGATTTGGGCATTTTTGGTGAACACCATCTTTGTCTTTTCGGAGTCAGAAGTCAACATCTTTAGTGGCCATTTATCTTTGGCCAGAGCAGTAAATCTGGTTAAAGACAGCCCTCCTGCATCAGGTGGCCACAGGTGGGACTGTGCTGTTGGGATGCCTCGGTTTCTTCATAACCGAATCCCATTGGTAATAAAAGGATTATAAACGGTCCCACTGGGACCTGAGGCGATTTAATTAGAAGACGTACTGTCGAACTCATAATAATTCAAACACAATTAATGAGTTGATTCATATTCCAGTTTACTTTATTTGTACCAGTGTGTTGCTATTTTTCCGGGGTTTCAGAAAAACTGTCCTCCAGCTGCCCCTCTCTGGACGGTGCTGTGAACCTGCTGTTAGGATGCAGAAAGCTTCTGGACCCCGGCTCTGCAGGGTGTGTGTGTGTGTGTGTGTGTGTGTGTGTGTGTGTGTGTGTGTTTTCTGCTGCAGACAGCCCTCCTCTGGCCGTCCCCGTCAGCCTCCCTCTGGTCCTTTCAGAGCGATGTTTGCCAACTGGCTGGGCTTCCTGTCCCCCACAGATTCCAAGCGGATGCGAACACAAACACACGCCCGCACACACACACGCACACACACGCACATATTTACAAATATCCTTAACTCCCGGCGCGTTTGCTCTGTCAGTTTGAACAGTTCACGCACACACAAACACACCACGATGCCACCCCCCCCACCCCCCCAGACAACCCTTTGTCCACATGACAGACAACCCCTTTCAAGCGGCCTGCGTGGGCTCGTGTGTGTGCGCATCCAAGTTGAAGTCGGTTTGGTGGAGAATAAAGGAAGAGAATCACCAGGCAGTCTGAAACTCCAAATTCTTCTTTTATTTCCGTTTCGAGGTGTAGTCAATAGATTAAGTTCATCTCTTTTATTTCAGCAGAAAGGCCCACACGTATCGGTAACACAACTCTGGACGTATTCACGCCTTTGCAAAATGAAGACAATGATACTCTGCAGGGCCGTGAAGTACGATAGCATTGGTATTCAGAAGTCTCCACAGATCCAAAAACCTCATTCAGCCTCATTCCTGCACAGTGGAGCTTGACAGCGCACTATTTTTGTGTGTTCTGAGGCTTTAAACAACTGTCTGAGGAGTGGATTTATTGTCTGAGGAGCAGCTGTCTGATAGGAACCGTGGACGCTCCCATCCTCCCGACTAAAGTAGGCCTCTGTCTCCTCTTCTTGTGTGTCCGCAGCTGGGACGACAGCAGCTCCGTGAGCAGCGGCATCAGCGACAACATCGACACGGATGACATCAACACCAGCTCCTCCATTTCCTCCTACGCCAACACGCCGGCGGCGCAGCGCAAAGGCCTCAACGCACAGGTCAGTCAGCACACACACGGCCAGAAACAAAACGAGTCATTCTCTAAAATTCCGCTTAGTTTGGCGCTTCCCAACTCAATATGGGAAACTTCCAGAGGACAAAGCTGCATCACACAAACTCATAACTGTCTGTACTTGTAGGAGTCCATTATGAGTCAGTTAGCTGGACTACGAGTCTAGTCCCCAGTAGGACAAATGCATAATTAAAAGCTTTCTGCTTCCCTTTTCTGTTTATCAGAAAATACTAAATGGTTCTGCACTAAGAGATCATAAAGATTTGTGGAAGGATGTTAACATGTGGAAATACGAGCTCTACCCAGAATAAAGAATAACAGAAGTGAGTAAGTTTTTGCCATCTAAAACAGCTCAAAGCTCTTAGATTCATAATGCTCTGAACTGAAGTTAAATTGTTTATTTTTAATACAAGTAGACTTTTTGAGAGTCAAATTGAGCCAATAATTATGGGTGATTTTGCAACTCTTTGAAATCTGAGACTGCGTTTCAGGGCTAAATGACATTAGCCTGTAGACTCTCAATTAAGGATGCCCCTAATTCCACCTTTACCAGTTAACAGACACTATATAAAATCTTCCAGCTTCCAGTTAAGGCGCTACATTGTTTACAGAATTGTATCAAGCAGATTTTCTCCAGTCAGTGATCAAATCACAGCACAAATCCTGCTTTTATACCAAACTGCGGGTCATTAACAGCTGTTTAAGTGGACATTTTCATAAAACTGCAACTCCAGGAAGTGCAGTAAGTCGCAAAAGTCTGGAGTTCTTATTTCAAACTATGCTGAAATGCAAAAGCACAGAAGTATTCACCCATCTTTAGAAGATGGAAACAAAACTTTATGCCTTTTTTGTAGTCGGCTGCCCACATATGGAGTAAAAAGCCCCCGGTCACGCGTTCGCGCCTCGATGCCCCTGAATCCAGTGGGAACCAGCAGAAGTGGTCCACCATCTCTGTCCGTGTTTGAAATGTGAGAGCAGCTGTGTATGGCCGACCTTAAGCTTTTACAGATTATCTGCCGCTCCAGCTCCCGAGGTTTGTTTTTCGACTTCGCTACGCCCGGCTAACTCCTCTTAGCTCAACAACGCCCCATTTTTGCTAAAGCCTAATGTTTCCAGCCACTCAGCATGTGAGCGGCTCCCGTTATTGCTGGAGAGGTGGAGGTGCTGATGGAGAAACAAAGGGCCGAACAAAGAGGTCTTTCTCTCCGCGCAGCTGCCCGACGCGGCGCAGGTTAATGAAGTCTTTGTCATCCGTCCTCAGGCAATCCCTCCCTGGCCCGAGTGTGGTTTTCAGGGTCTGACAGCAAAGCGGTTTCTTTCATTTTTGTAATGCCGTCCAGACTACAGCACTGTTCATTTACTGCTACCGGCAAGATAGTATAGATGCTAGCCAAACTATTCTCCTTTAGTCCGTTCTTTATAGCCTTCTCTGTTACTATTGGTAAACTTCCACATGGCACAGTTGGCTGGGGATTTAGAAAAAGATGAAAAGTCTAAATTGAGTCTCAGGATGGGTTCCACGATCACACAGCTCAAATGCACAAGTCATTAACATGCCTAGTTTTTTCATAATTAGATTAAAAAAACACTCAATGGCAGCATAAAGGTCAGTCATTAAAATTCCTTTGTTCTGAGTAAGGCTGGTCAAAGATCTGAAAGGTGGCTCTTTTTGTCGTTTTATTCCGTTCAAAAGCCTTTTTTGGCAGATTTCAGATCAGCTACCTTCCTCAAAAAAACACCGGCAGCAAATTACAAACCGTGACCATGAGGAGGTCCTTGTGGTCCGGCCTTGATGTGGAAAACCCAGCGGTGTGCTGCCGGTGGGATTA